AAGCACCAAAGCCTCCTAAAGGCCTCGACAACTGGGGCTAAGGCCCACAACCTCCAGTGCAAAAAGACAATGGCCCCTGGAGGAAAAGGAAAACTTTCATGCCAGGGGAGATGTGCAGTGAAGAAGAAGGGTCTGCAGCCCGCACAACTCAGACATGCTTCATGTGGTCTCAGTCAGTCAGCCTTGGGAAATGTGCCCCCATGCTGTGGCATCTACGGTCGGCCTTCTGGGCTTGGGTAAGGTCTGCAAAGACACACATCTGTTTCACCTTCACGGGTTTCCCATCAACTCTGGTCATTTTTATAGAATGAAACAGGTTTCCAGGATAGCATTCCGCACAGATCAAGAGCCCATGCGAAATGAGGGGGATGACTTGACCACAGCACCTCATTCCTTCCTGTACTCTAGACGCTTCTGCAGAATAGAGGGCCCGCCCCTGAAGGGCACAGGCCATGATTTGTCCTCAGGCTTCCTTCACCCACAACATCCAGTGCGACAGAAATACCGGGTACTCAGCAAGAGGCAGTCAAATGCACAAAGCTGGATACAGAACTGAAACACAACAGGGGAACGACCGGAGCTGGAGAAGTCTGAGACTGTGTCTTAGAAATCACGAAAGCTGGACATGAAAAATTTTTCCTTCTGCTCTAAGCCTAAGGAAATGAGTGGTGAGCTTCTCCAAAAACAAAAACACAACACACAAAAGCCCACAGAGGCCATCTGCCATCCTTCCAGCGGTGCTGCTGGGAGGCAGGCCCACACTCCCAGCTGCGTCTGCCTTTCCTCTCCACCTCGCTCCCTGCTCGCAGCCTCTCTACCCCAACTGCTCTAGCTATTTCTTCCATCCTTTTTTGAACAGAAAATAAACACAGAAGTCTAAAAGAAATGATAATTCACAGCCTATGATGGATCTATCTAAGCAACTAGCAGAACTAAAAGTCTAAAATATGAGTTCACATTTCCGTATGCAAAAACTCCCAAAAACTATTTTAAGAAACAAAATAATCTATAACAACACAATAGATTCATTAAAATAGAGCAAAATATATCATTCCCAGGACACCTGAGGGAGGAGCCTCCTTTCATTTTCACAAAGGAAACAGGGCTGGAGGGGTCACTTGTCCAAGGTCATAACGCCACATGCTGTAAACATCTCTCTATCCTCAGAAATGTAGGATGGATACCCAAGGGGTTAGAATTCCACAAAAGTATCCCAAAATCTGACTTTCACTTGCAATGGCCATGCATCCAGCTCTGGCAGCATTGATCTTGGTGAGCACCCCTAGAACAGACACTGTCCTGAGTGAGATCTGGGTGTCCAAGTACCAGAGGGGGCCTCACCCTACTGAGGTCTGGCTGCCAACCTTGCTCTGCTGGACGGGAACAGGGCATATGCTCAAGGAGTAGTTGGCCATTTGGGGATTTCTGCTCTTCCCTCACTAACCCCACAGGAAACCTGAGGCAAGGCTGTGAGAGGTGGTGCAGCTGACAAGGTAGCCCGGCCTCTTCTGGCCTAGTGCAAAGATGGGAAGAGGACGGGTGGAGGAGTCTGGGTTCCAGCAGGAAGGGATGGAGGGTGGAGAGACATGGGGTGGATGAGAAAAGAGGAGACACACGAACATGGGGTGCAGTAAACATGCCCCCCATGGTGACTGGCCAGTCAAGGGGGAAAATAGCAGCTTGTCTCATTGCCTCAGTGCCCCTTCGCTGTCTCAGACACGCAGCCCCCTGCATAGCAAGCCCCCAAGTGTGCTAAGGACCCACGCAGAAGAAGGTCTGCAAACACGGTCTGAGGCCGTGCAGAGCAGGAGCTCCCACCTGAGCCCACCTGCTGGTCGGAGAGGAAGCAAGGGGTGCAGGCAACACACAGAAGGCTCAGAAGATTCACAGCAAGAGCCCCCCCTCAGCCTGGAGGGCCCGAGCCGCCCGCAAGGTGCCAGCAGGGGCGCTCCCCTCCCCCACCCCAAAGGCTCTCTCTAAGCCACTCCGCTAGAAAGATTCTTTAATCAGGACACATGAAGCACATTCCATTCCGTGCTGCTTCTCTTTCCAGCTAGGGATTCAAAGCAGGAAGGGACCCCCAGAAGGAGAAAGAGTGAGACTGGGGGATGAGTTCAGCCCCAGCACAGTCACCTTCCTACCCCACACCCCTGACGCTTGCCTGGGCCCCGTCACCTTTCTCATGGATGTCACTGATCCCCTGGGATGGTCCTCACCCCCTATACTTGGTTAAGTAACATCCTTCAAGGCACAGCCCCAGAGAGTGTGTCCCCTGCTAACAAAGCCATTGAATGCTCCCTGTGCCTGTTGATAAGTCCCAAGCTCCGGCCTCTGTGTGCTTGGTCAGGGGGATCATGCCAGGCTGTGACTTCCTGCCTTTGCCCCTGCTGGGATGGAAGCTGCTCCCTCAGCCTTCCTGGGCAGAGCCCTTGGAGCCTCCAGGGTCTGTCTCAAACCCCACCTCCTCCAGGACTCACACCAAGTCCCCTAGAGGATGCACTGCATCTCCCTGATGGTGCTGCCATTCGTGCTACAGGCCATGTGCGTCGATGTCACCGTTGCTCCCCACGACAGCCAGGTCCCGCACCTGCTACACAGACCAGTCACTGAATATCTGCAGGGCTGAGCCAGTACTCTTCGTTTTGTTCAGGTTAAGAGGACGAGTACCACCCACACCCTGACAACCACAGAAAACCCCTATCATAAGCCCAACACCCCACCAAAGTCCCCAGCACACCTTCACCTGCCCAGCAGCACACAGTTGCTGACGTGATTAGAGTCAGCACCACCTGATTTATGACTAAGCAAATGGCCACACTGCGGGGAGGATGGAAGCAGGGGTGGAGCTGCCATTCCTTGCACAGCCAGAGGTCATGGGGGACTCACTCTGACTCCTCACAAACACGGCAAGAAAGGCTGCTTTCACCCAGCCTCGTGGACATGGGGCACACGGACACACACCCTCCTCCAGGCCACAGCTCTGCATTTTGGGTCCCTGAGCCATCTCAGTAGGGTGTCAAATGCCCTCTCCTGTTCTCACTCAGCTCAAACTGCTCCCCAGGCCAGCAGGGAGGTGAACCATGCTGACCTGGGTAGTTCGATTTAGGTCTTGTGCCCCAACAGTGGGCAAGATGATGCCCTCCGTGACCAAAAGTATTTACCCCAAGTTCCCCCAGGCCCTCCCTTCTGTGTCCCATTACCAACTATGCCCATCAGGCTCAACTGCTGGCCAGGCCTGGCCTCTTTGGCATGAGCTGGGGCAGAGCTGCACACGGTGCACACTTCACTGCAATAAAGACAGCTTTCATTCCCTATTCAGGTCAACCAATAATGCTCAACTAGAGACACTGACCAAATTCACAGAGGGATTGTGCCTACAAATCCATGGATAAGTCAGCTGTTTAGAAAAAGAACGTCTCTCCAGAAAGCCAGTGCTCCATGGGCAAGGTAAGGATCCTGAGCCAGCCAACAAAAGCTTTGCCGTGCACTCTGGCCTTGAAGCACAGAGCCCTGAACACTGTGCCCAAAGAATGAAAGAGGGTGCTAGTCAGATTGACTAGCCCTTCTTGGAAGGCCCAGACCACATCTCCTCCCCCTAGTTGGTCAGTGATATCCCTGCCCTGCCCCCTGGCGGGCTTGAGGAGACCCTCCTCCCGTCAGCCCAGCTTGGTGGTTGTGGACAGACTAGCAAGGGCTGGGATCTGGGAACCCTAAGAGCTTGCCAGCCCCGAAGCCTTCAGTCCACATAGCTTCTTTCCATCAGCAGACCTGCGGCCTGCCCTCCCAGGGTGTGGCCCACCCTGGCAACCAGATCACCTGCACATGGCTCACTGCCCTCCAAGGCTCCCCTATCCCCGTGCCGTGTTAGGGCAACCCCGAGGTCCCGAAGGATTCTAACTCATCAGAATGCAGTCCCTGACTTCAGCTCACACCCACCTCCCACAGCAGGAAGGGCCAGGCCTTACTCAGCCTGTCTCTGACGGAGCAAGAGACAGCTGGCGGTGAACTTAGGACAGTCCTGCCACAGCAGGCTTCACTTCCTGAGCAGTGCCCTGGGGTAAAGAAAGAGGCTGCACTGAGAAGAGGGTAGAAGAGCAGGAAAGGAGAGGAAAAGGTAAGCTTGCAGGAGGAGGTAGGAAGGTAGATAAGGATGTTTCTTCTTCCTGTGCCAGCTCCATGTCCATTTAAGTTGGTGGCTGGAAATGCAAAAGTGAACAAGCCAAAGCCCTGGCATCAAGGAGGAAGCACCGTGGGAAAAAGACATAGAAACAAAAAGGACAAACTGGAATAGGGGCCACACTGGAAGGATGAAAACAAGGTGGGAATTCAGAGAACAACGAAGGGCTCCACAGAGTCGGAAGGGCAGGACAAGCTGGGTCTGGAGGATGAGCTGGTGTGTGCCAGGCGGGTGGGGAGAAGACACACAGGAAGATAGACAGTGGGCCCTCGGGAGTGAGGCCAGGGAAGGCAGGAGACAGGGCTCAGAGGCATGGCTGGAAATGTAGGTGGAGCAGAGAGCAAGGGCAAGCCTAAATGCTGGGTGCAGCCTGGTGTGTAACAAGGGAGGAGAGCTGCAATGTGGCTCACCCTGAGGAGGGTGTGGAAGTAGAAAGATGGCACTGGGTGTGGGGCACAAAGTGAGTCCAAGAGCAGTGCCCTGGAGGCAGGGAAGTCAACAGGGAGCCTGGTGGGACACTCCGGTCTGAACTCAAGGAATACGGGCACAGAGGGGTGCTGGGGAGCGAGCATGACTTGCCAAGGAGGCAGGGGAAGGAGGGTGAGGCCGAGTTTCCAGCTGGGACAACTGGGTAGGGGAAGGCGGTGGTAGTGCCGTTCACCAAGAGAGGAAATGATTGGGAGGAACACTGCGGGGGTGGGGACCAATGGCCACTAGGACATTCCCCTGCCTCCATTCTGTCCTTGCAAACAGCCCTAGGCAAACGGCGCAGCTCAACGCCTTCTGGGGGCTTTGGCATCCCCCATTAGTACCCCAGTCTCACCTGCATCCAAACGTTGTCTGTAGCAAAGTAGTGATTCCCACACAGAAGAAAATGGTCCCAATGAGCTGGCTGGTGGCCCACTGGTCGTACCCCACACACATGGCATCGGCCAACAGGAAGGGCACTGCGATCGTGCCGCTGAAGCATGTCAGGTAGTGCTGTGGGCAGGAAAAGGGTCAGAGGAGAAACAGTAAACCCTTACTCATTTATTCTTGATTTCATCCTAATTCTTCTCTTTTATTGTCATTAAAAAATAGCCCCCATAAAGAATCTCCTTGGTTTGTTAGAGCAAGCCATTTTTTTTCCTTCTTTTTCAGCGTTTCTCCTTTGTGGTTGAGACAGTTTCATTCCCACTGCCCTGGACGGAGTGCAACGGTGCGATCTTGGCTCACTGTGACCTCCACCTCCCAGGCTCAAGCAATTCTCCTGCTTCAACCTCCCAAGTAGCTGGGATTACAGGCACGCACCACCAAGCCCAGCTAATTTTTGTATTTTTTGTAGTGATGGGTTTTCACCGTGTTGGCCAGGCTGGTGTCAAACACCTGGGCTCGAGCAACCTGCCTGCCTCTGCCTCCCCAAAGTGCTGGGATTACAGGCGTGAGCCACTGCACCCAGCTGCATTTCTCCTTTCTATTACATTTTCTTGTCTTACTACACACTGTCATTATTACTTATTACTTGGATGAATTCATACCTTACAAAGGAAACAGTCAATATCAGCCCTGGTGATATTTTAATTATGTAATTCTTATTAGAAACATTTGGGGCTTTTTCCCCAAAATGCTTTTCTGGCATAAATTGCTAAAACCATAAGGCCTTTCTCCTCTAATCTGTTATCATGAATTGTGATGTGCTGAACTATTCTTGCATGTTTGAAACAAACCCTAGTCAGTCATGCTGTATTTTTCTTCTGCAATTTGATCTGTTAATATTTTATATAGAATTCTGCATCTACATTTCTAAGTTAATTAGTCTACTTCTTTAAAAAAGTTCTTACATGTCTGGGGATTAAAGTTACATAAGCGTCATAAGTTACATACGCAAGGAGTGTTTTCTGTCTTTTTCTGTGAGCTGGCATTGTTTTTGAAAACAAAGAATTCATCTGTTCCAGTCAGGGCAGGATTAAGGGCATATGGTAGCCATGGGAATCTTCCAGAAAGAACCCCATCCCACCTTCCTTTGGGACCCCCCCCACGCGTGCCCAACGCCTCACCTGTAACCCCGGTAGGATAGTCCCAGCACTCACGACTCACTTCCCTCCCTTCCCCCGTTGACCAGTTCTTATTTCTGTTCTGCAAACTTTCTACTTTTCTTCCAGCAGCTTCCCATTCCTGCCCACATTCGCCAAACACGCCACATGCAGCCCAAGAAGCCCAACAGTAAAGGAGTTTCCTGAGGTGAAACATTCCTGTTCAGGATGCCTCAGGGCTACTCACAAGTTTATGTTCTCTGAACCGTCAGGAAGGGCATGATGCAGGCAGGGTTTCCCACTCCTATCTGACCAGGGAAGACTGCCAGAGACATTTATAGGATAAACATTCCAAAAAGTGTGTTTCCTGAATCTGGTTCAGAATGCTCGGCCCAAAGTAGACTATTTGCCAAGGCCACTCAGCTCCTTTGGCTCTGACTCCTCCCCTACTAAACAGACACCTGCCAGTTGGGGTTACCATGTGCTTTGATACCTGAAAGGGGGTGTGGGAAGGGTGGGGCAACTGGAAATTTGACCAAAGTGCCCAGCTGTTGGCAGGCACAGCCCCATCCCAGGGTGAATAAACCTCTCTGGACAATAAGATGGATTTTCTCAGCACCTGAGATACCTTAAGTTGAATGGACCACACACTTGAGAAGGGAAAAATAGTAAACCAGACCTCAGAACAGAGTCCAACTTAAAACCAAAGCAAATACAGCCCAGGGGTGTACATCTAAGAAAAGACCTTCCCCACATTGTCCCCTTTCTCCAAAACGTCCTGCGTTAGTCCTATGAAAGGGAAAAGGGTGCTGAAGACAGAGGAGGGAGGTATCAAAGACGCTGGAGGCCTGCATCAGCTATGTCACCACCCACCTTGTCCCTGAGCCTGGTTGTCCTCCCCTCCCACTGGAAGCTACAGCAGACAAAGCTGCCGCTACTGTGGCAAGTTTCCCTTCCTTTAAAAAATAAGACTGAAAACCTACCATTTAGGTCCTGGCCGACATGGCACTTTTCAGGGTAACTCACGTTTCATGGCAGAAGATACCATGATTTTGGGTGGGTTAACTAGGCCAGGGATGGGAGATGAAAATAAATTCCTCTTTTCTCTACTCTTCAACTTTTCTCCTTTCTCTATTCTTCCTTCTTTCTATAACTCTATCTCCTTTGCCTTCCTTTATGTCACTGCTCTTGCGTGCCCCTGAACATCGTCTTTCTTTTCCCTGGTAATCCATTCTACCTGTTCTTTTCTTCCTCCTGCTATGATTCCCATTCATCCCTTTTTTTTTTCTTTTTTTTTTTTTTTTTTTGAGACAGGGTCTCACTATGTCAAGCAGGCTGAAGTGGAGTGGTGCAATCACAGCTCACTGCAACTTCAACCTCAAGCGATCCCCCTGCCTCAGCCTCTTGAGTGGCTGGTACTATAGGCACACACCACCACACGTGGCTAATTTTTGTATTTTTTGTAGAGGTGGCCTTTTGCCATGTTACCCAGGCTGGTCTTGAGCTCCTAGGCTCAAGTGATCAGCCCACCTCAGCCTCCAAAACTGCTAGGATTACAGGCATCAGCCACCATGCTGTCCCTACTCATCACTCTTAAAAGAGGAATTTATGAAAGTCTTCAATAAACAAAAATCAAATTTGAACTTTTAAACAATTCCAGATGGTAGACAACTCAAACACCTGCTGGTAGTTACATATCCTACAGGAACCATCTTACCTGCAGCCCCAAAAATATACACAGGTACCAGGGAGGAACATCTTCTATGGTATAAATCATGTCCGATCGCTGGGGGTCCAGACTGCCAGTGCTATCGAGGGTCTCGGCAAGAGAGCTCTGTGAGTGAGAAGGAGAAAGGAAGGTACTCATTAAACCTGAACACCAATGTTAGCTTGGCCATGTGCAGGCCACTATTACAGAAAAACAACTTTATCAAGTGGCTGCCATTTTCCTGCAGTTTTGAGCCTTGGCTGTCGCTGAAGCCAAGTACACTCTTGGGCTCAAGTACACTCGCTCACTGGGATGGTCAATCCTCAGAATTTGGGAGGTCAGTGTCCTTTGTCAACAACTCATCCCCGAGAACACCAAACTTGCTCAGAGCTTCTCCCCAGGCCTGGGGATCCTCCTGCATGGACAGAGATGTTCCCAGGTTGAGACCACAAAACGATACCTTGGCATGAGCAGTCCTTGCGTGAGGCCCCAGATGAAGAAATCTTAGAAAATTTTAAGCACTTTCGAAGAGACAGCACACTGATCTGCCCCTCCCAGCCTACTTCATCCCTGCAGGATCTTTGTACTCTGAAGTTCTACACCTTTCTATCCAAACACTATTGCTCTTAGGTGAAAAGAGGAAAATTCAGAAGTATATAAACACAGTGATTTGAATTCTGTTTAAAAAACAAAACATTAAAAATGTATTGATAGTTTAGGTGACAGGTTTTTTTCTTCTTTTTCCCCTAACACTAGTAAAAAAAATATTTTAAAACATTAAGTGTAGCATGGTTTTTAAGCCAAAATCATCATAAAGACCAGTCACTTTAGGTTAGAGTCCAGCCTCTTCCAATCACCCCCAGCATCAGTTCTGAACTCAGGCAGTATCTGAGCCAAACAGAAAACTCAAGGTAGCCTTGAGTTCCCCAAGAGAACCTCAAAACTGCTCTGGTTTCAAACACCACACAAAGAATCTTTTCTTGGAATTTCTACAGTCATTTCTTGGAATCCAAGACATGTACCTCGTTTGAAAAAATTTTTTATAACCTAGCAAACAAAGTGCTTAACAGAAATAAAATGAAAAGATATCCCACATGGGGAAAATGCTGATTCCATGTGTTCCACATGGAGGTAACAGGGGTTTGCGGTTTGGGGTTTGGGGTCCAATACCCTTAAACAAAAGAAGGGACACAGTTCACAGTTCACCCTCACCTTGCACAGCCGGAAGTAAACGTCTGATGGAAGCTGATATCTGATCTAAACCAAATGTAACTGAATATGACCTTTTGGGTAAAACTTTCTCTTCCGTCCTCACAAGGGATACTGGCAAATTTACATTGTGTTGAATTTGTTACGATGGATTATGGATGTCTTTAACAACTTGTTGGAAGAAATGGTAGAAAAAGTACATATGTGTCTGAGGGGTGTGGCATACAGTGATGTACAATAAAGATTAACTCAGCAGGTCTGGGTTGTTCAAACCCTGTACATTTCAAAGGAAGGGTTGACTTCTTGCCTGGCATGTGGGGGATAACCTGAGCTCTTGGGGTTTCTGCCTCTTAAATGTGTCTTTTTAGGCCCAGTGCAGTGGCTCACACCTGTGGTCCCAGCACTCTGGGATGCTAAGGTATGAGGATCACTTGAGGCCAGGGTTCAAGAACAGCCTGGGCAACATAATGAGGCCCCTTCTCCAGTTTATACATATTTTTTTTACCTGAAACTTGGCCACACAGTGTCAGCTTGACCTCCGGAGGGGCTGGTGAGTAACTAAAGTTAGCCACACAGGCAGTCAGCCATACCTATACAACAGATGCCCACTTAAAAACCCTGGGCACCAAGGCTTGGGTGAGCTTCCCTGGTTGAATGAGTGTTCCCACATATCACTGCTGGGAAAACTGAACACTGCCTCCATGACTCCACTGGGCGAGGATGGCTGCAAGCCTGTGCCCGGTGTCTCCTAGACCCTGACTCTGTGCCTTTTTCCATTTTTTATTTTAATCTGTATCCTTTCTCTGAAAAACAAACAAACAAACGAAAAACAAAAAAACCCTTAACTGTGAGTAAAACAGCTCTGCTGAATTCTCTGAGTCTTCCTCATAAATCTCAGAACCTGATTTGGGACCTTCTGAACTGAGGTCATCATTTTGCTAACACAGTGGAATTACAGAGCTGGGGCTCAAGACACAAAGGTCAGCTCAGCAGCACCACATTAGCTGCAGCCACATAGGCAGTGCTGCTGCTCACAAAGTAACATGACAAAGTATTTCATAACAAAGAGAAATGTCTGAAGACAGAATACATAACACTATCATAGACTAGTACAACCTGTCACACAATAATGTAAGCAACATTTTTCTAACAATTCCAAAACCACGATTGTTAATTATAAGGCAGATGAAAAGACTTTTTGGCCAGGTGCAGTGGCCAGGTGCATCACCTGAGGTCAGGAGCTCAAGACTAGCCTAGCCAACATGGTGAAACCCTGTCTCTACTAAAAATACAAAAATTAGCTGGGTGTGGTGGCGCACGCCTGTAATCCCAGTTATTCCGGAGGCTGACGCAGAAGAATTGCTTGAACCCAGGAGACGGAGGTTGCAGTGAGCCAAGATCACGCCACCGCACTCTCGCCTGGGCAATAGAGCGAGATTCTGTCACACACATACACACACACACACACACACAAAAAGACAAGACTTTTCACATCCAGGCAGAGGTTAAGATGTACACACAGGCACATGTATGCACATGCACACATGCAGACTTTTCTTAGTAGTGAGAGTAGCCCTACAACTCAGAAACAAAACAAGTGTAAAGGTCCACAGCTGGTATTAAAATGATACAGGACGGGGGGGTTGTGCGGTCAAGGGGATCAGACAACACTGTGAGGCAGACGCTGTGCAGCCCCGCCTGATGACAGAAGGACTGGTCTAGCCACTGTGCACTCTGCACACTGTGGTGCCACACTCAGTGATCACTGTGTAAACTATGAGCTATTTCAAATACTGCAAAACCAAAAACCTCTAACAAGGTTTCTGCAAATGATGACTACATAAATAACTATGTCACTTTAAAAAGACTTTCCATCTTATTCTATGATCTGAAATAATGTAAAGAACAAAAAATCACCTGTGCTTCAAAGACTAGAGTGAACTCAGAATGCTGTTCTCTGCCTGGAGCCTTCTTAACACTTTTAACTACCTTTGCTATCTCCTCCGCGGTTCTTTATCTAATCTAGCACCTTTGGGGTCGACTGTAGTCTCTTTCTCTAGGAAATCATTTCCTCTACAGCAGAGTCAGCACATTTTTTTTTTTTTAATTATACTTTAAGTTCTAGGGTACATGTGCATAACGTGCAGGTTTGTTACATATGTATACTTGTGCCATGTTGCTGTGCTGCAACCATCAACTTGTCAGCACCCATCAACTCGTCATTTACATCAGGTATAACTCCCAATGCAATCCCTCCCCCCTCCCCCCTCCCCATTATAGGCCCCGGTGTGTGATGTTCCCCTTCCCGAGTCCAGGTGATCTCATTGTTCAGTTTCCACCTATGAGTGAGAATATGCGGTGTTTGGTTTTCTGTTCTTGTGACAGTTTGCTAAGAATGATGGTTTCCAGCTGCATCCATGTCCCTACAAAGGACACAAACTCATCCTTTTTTATGTCTGCATAGTATTCCATGGTGTATATGTGCCACATTTTCTTAAAAAGTCAGGAAACAACAGGTGCTGGAGAGGATGTGGAGAAATAGGAACACTTTTACACTGTTGGTGGGATTGTAAACTAGTTCAACCATTATGGAAAACAGTATGGTGATTCCTCAAGGATCTAGAACTAGATGTACCATATGACCCAGCCATCCCATTACTGGGTATATACCCAAAGGATTATAATTCATGCTGCTATAAAGACACATGCACACGTATGTTTATTGCGGCACTATTCACAATAGCAAAGACTTGGAATCAACCCAAATGTCCATCAGTGACAGACTGGATTAAGAAAATATTTTTTATAAAGGGCCATACAGTAAATATTTCAAGCTTTGGGAGCCACATAGTTCTGTCACTGTAGCATGGATGCAACCTTAGGCAACAGGTAAACAAAGAAATATGGCTGTGTTCCAGCAAAAGTCTACTGAGAAGAACAGATACTAAACCAAATTTGGCTTGCCAATCCCTGCTGTAGCATTTCAAACTGATTATCATAAAGTAGCATGTACTATTCTCTTATACATTTCTCTTTTTTACTATATTAATGTGTATTTGTGCTTTCTACTTTTTTCTCTTAATCGGGGCCACAAAAGATCAATTTTGGCCAGGCATGGTGGCTCATGTCTATAATTCCAGCACTTTGGGAGACTGAGGTCAGCAGACTACTTGAGCTCAGGAGTTTGAGACCAGCCTGGGCAACAAACAGAGACCCTGTCTCCAAAAACAAACAAAAATTAGCTGAGTGTGGTGGCACATGCCAGTGGTCAGCTGCTCAGGAGTCTGAGGTAGGAGCATCACTTGAGCCTGAGAGGTTGAGGCTGCAGTGAGCTGTGATCATGCCACTGCACTCCAGTCTAGGCAACAGAGATCTTGTCTCAAAAAAACAAAACAGGCTGGTGACTCACGTCTGTAATCCCAGCACTTTGGGAGGCCGAGGCAGGTCAATCACTTGAGGTCAGCCTGGCCAACATGGCGAAACCCTGAAACCCTGTCTCTACTGAAAATACAAAAATTAGCTAGGCGTGTTGGCGCACACCTGTAGTCCCAGCTACTCGGGAGACTGAGGCAGGAGAATCACTTCAACCCAGGAGGCAGAGGCTGCAGTGAGCCGAGATCGCACCACTGCACTCCAGCCTGGGTGACAGAGTGATACTCTGTCTCAAAAACAAAAACCAAAAAACCCAAAAGTATCAATTTCATTATTCTTTTCAACAAGCCAGCTTTTGAGTTCTAGTTAAACATGGTAGATTGACCACATGTATCTTTTCTTCTAAGTCCTAAAAACACAGAAGGAATAAATATGATACACATCTACAAGGACAAAGCAAAGAGGAGATCAAGAAAATGAGATTAACTTTTTTTTTTTTTAAATATGGAAAGTGTTTGGATGCTGTGTGACCAATTTGGGAGAGG